TCCATGGGTTGCTATTTTGTACAGTGGCAGAAACATTTCTGGACGCATCGCATTATGGGATAGACTCCGTACCGTGCATTGTTTGGACCTGACCCGAAACTTGGTTTAAAATCGACAAACCTGCCAGATTCTGTAATTAAGAGCTTCGAACAGAAGAGGCACTTGAAAATAGAAATACATTCTTCACGGACCAATAACACTGAAATCGTAATACCAGAAGATGATTCTGGTTCGGATCGAGAAGATGGATTCAATTGGACAATATGGAAGAAAATGCGACTGATATTATAAGTATTGCATATTGTTGTGCGTGTAGTAAGAACATCGCAGAAAAATCTAAAATCAGTTGTGAGATATGTAATGTTACAGTGCATATAAATTGTACAGTTTTCACTTCAGGACCACCTCCAAAACCAGAAACAAGGATTTGCTTATTTTAAACAAGTCAAAATAAAATTGAAAATAATAGACAAAAATCTTGTTCTGGCCAAAAGAGAGCAGCTGCAAAGATGACTGAGGCATCCAACAAAAAATTCAAGTCGATTGCAGTCGGATCGTATGTTTATTTAACAATTCCTAAGGTAAATCGACGGCCTGTCGATTCCAAAAATTCAATTTATTACTATAATTTATATACGAGTATTAATAAGTCCTTGACCTGAAAAACGGCCTCTATAAACTAAGCACGTCTAAAGGAATTCTTAAAACTCTGTTTTCTAGATATGCTATTCAAGAATCCTCGGTAAGTGTTGAAGGTGAAGTTCCTGATCAACTAATATCTGTAAGAGTGTAAGTTGCTTATCAGTCACGATTCGGGGGTCAGGGATTTCAAAAATGTTGCTGTAGGGCTAGTAGAAAACAGTGCAATACAAAGAATGTGCTTGCTTTAAAAATGTATGCTCTTCCAAATGTCATGGAAGTTCGACAGACATGCAGTAATAAATAAATGTTGGGCCATAAACAATATAAAGCATATTTTATTATTTTCAAAGAATTCGTTTTAATTTTCATTTGTAGTTTTATATAAGTAATACAGATAGGTATATCCTAAGCTAAATGTTAAATATGTCATAATTTAGACTACCTGAATGAATGTTAATAGGTGTATTTTATATTATGAAGTGTTAACTTTTTATTTAGGTTTTCTTTATAAATAAATTCATTACGTTTACTGAAAGTCTGTTATTTTACTAAATAGTATTTTTCATTTTATTTTCTGGTTTTGACGGAACCGCTTTCGGTAAATTGAAAAATGAATAAAAATAATAATTAGTCACAACGTAATACACCTTCTTCTGTTCTTGTTTTGTCGGCATTTTATCATTTTGCCTGAATTGATCTAGTCATAACAAAAAATTCCTAGGAAGTTTATAAAAAGCCTAAATTTCCATTATTCCTACGGCATAATATGCACACAAAAAAGCACAAGTGCGATTATTTTGATAATTTTATTGTCTAATATAATCCCCCATATCAATGCACTTGCACCATTTCTAGTGCAGTGAACTTCGCCTTATAAAAAACTAGTTTCAAAGAGTCGTCGACGGTTGCTCTACAGGCCGTCATCTGAGTCAAAACGGCATCCTTGACATGTTTTTCGTAATCTAAAGAAATAGTAGAATAGTAAAAGTCAGATGGAGCCAAGTCGCTTATAATTTTCTAGTAGGCGGCTGCGTTCATGCCTTTTTGGAAGGTGGATACCCTTTATATGCCTTTTGTCTCAGAACTCCAATGATGCACCCAAGTCTCGTGGTCCATCACAATTTGTGTCAAAAAGTCGTTGGTCAAAGTTTCTAAGTGACCTTCTGAAATTTTCACCATGCGTAATTTTTGTTCAGAACAGTCTTGAAACCCGCCTGACTGATACCTTACTGATGTTCAAATTGTCATGCAAGGTATTTATTACGCTGGGCTTCGATATATTTAATGTCATATTAAAGGTAGAGACCTTCATATCGTCATTTGTTGCTGTTGTCGGTCTTCAACTCCTCGGATTGTCTTCTATGGATTCACACCCCCCATCGAAGCTGTTTGGACCAAAATTTCATTGTTTAATTCTCTCAATGTTTGTTTTCGGCTGATGGCCTACCTGTGTCAGAAAATTTATGACACTACGAGTCCGTAATTTTGAGTTTCTCTTTTTGCCTAACAATTCTTTTTATAAATTGGAAACTGATTACCAAAATTAATTCTAATTTTGCAAGTAGGATTAGTACCCATGTCACTATATGCCGTTGTATTCTTATGGATCTCAAATGTTTTTTTCTTTCATGGAAAGGTAGACTTCTTTCCTAATGTGCCTCGTAACTATAAAAAATGACCCACGAAATACTTCTACATGAATATACGCCGCTGAAAGTCGCTTCTGTGTATCGGTTTTTCTTAATTAACTTCCAAGCGAAATTGTATAATTGAAGGATATACTATATCGCCAGAATCCGAGTCTTGCTGGTGCATGCGGCTGTGTGATGACGCACCGGCCTATCTGCGCACTTCCAGCTACCTGCAAGCATTTCATTTTGGTTTCCTTGAGATACAAAAATTTGTGTATATCGTTGAGCTTAAGCATTATACTTATTTTAACTGATAATAACTGTGCAATTTTTATGTTGCTGAATAGCATTCTTTACTAGCTACTAAATGGCGTACCATTCATGCATGCAAAACTACGGTATTCAAATACAGTGTTGATGAATATGTATGTCTGAACATCCATCTCACAGAGTATTATTGCATAACAGTAAAAATACCACATAGTCAATTTTATACAGATGACTTCATATGGGAATAACCCTGTTGGGCTTATAACGTGCATTTTCCTTCGATGGTTAATACGATCCCTTAGATATAATAATATATATTAATATTAAATGTATGATGGTAGGGTGTTCCCAAAACAAACGCAAACTTTTGTTATTCATTGCAATATTTGTTATTCAGATAGATTTATGCATAACGGTCATTATAAATTTCGTGTCTTCTTTACATAACCTCTTCTTATGTACTTTATGGTTTGATGAAAAAAAACAGTCCAAATTTGAAAAAATGTGTCTTCTGTGTAATTCAAATCTTCTGAAGTAAATAAAGATTGCGTATTCAATCTAAATAGCGAGTTACTGTGAGCAAGACTTCTACGATTATATTATCTCTACCTACCACAGGGTGAAGAATTTTCCCACCACTTATAATTGAAGGATAAGAAACGGAATTCAGATCGATTTACCGCACAGTGGAAGAATTTGTTCGAGTTATTTGTAACTTTATTTGATCGCATTATTACAATCTGGCAATGCATTTGTTATCTTTGTACCAATTATAATATAATTTCTACGTCTATTCAGCTTGTGTGGTCAAATTTCTAATGAAATGCTAATCAAATAATAGGTGCTAACCTCATAAGCTGCATCAATTAATTAAATTAATTTAATGAAAGGTAGTTGTTTTATTTATCAGTCGGTATGACAAAATGGAATTCATAGAATACAATCTTGATTACCATTTACCTCATACTAAGAGAGAATATGCCATTCTACGAACAGAGTAGATATGGTCATTTATCAGGTTAGAGGTCGTGCTACATCGAAATCCGGAGGTAAAGTATTTCTGCTTAAAATTATTGAAACAACAAAAAACTCAAGTATTGAATATAATAACAGGGTTTGTCCAGGAAGTAATAAACTTCATGTTCTTTGTGACGCGACTATGCAAGGCAGCGCGGCGGTGCCGGTTGGGAAAGGTCGGGGGTGAAAGAAACGCCAGCTTTCCAGTTCCTTCTTTACTTTCCGGGATCCGTCCAATGCCACTGCAGCCTCCTCGAGCTTATAGTACCCAATCCAGCAGTCTACAGCTCTGAACCAGTTGGTACAGTCTTACTGTCGGTACTGTGCTAAATTATCCCGGTTGAAGTTTTGTGTCCTGTTAGAAGCCCTGTGACTTCGCGGAGTTGGCTTCTACTCATTGAGAGCATTGACATTGTCCCGAGATGAATTCCTTCCCACGCCTACATCCAGTCACTAAGTGCCAATGCTCCTTATGCTGGTTTCTTATCCATTCTTTGACTTGGTTCCTTATTTTGGTTTTTGACACCTCCATGGCAGGTTCTGGGCCTGCATATGGTATGGAAGATCCTTTCCTTGCGAGCTCATTCGGCCTTTCATTTCCCGCGTTATCTGAGTGTCCTGGAACCCACATCAGAGTTACTATGTTATGTTCCTCTGTATTTAGTTCTTGTTGGCAGTCTCAGATCAGTGCAGATGTCAGTGTAGGACTTCTTAACGCTACGAGTGACGCCTGATTGTTAGTTTATAGGGTGATTCTTTTATTGTTATGTGCTCCCCCATTATTTACTCTTACACAGTGCAAGATCTGCCTGAAATACAGAGGTGTGTATTCCAAGCGGTATACTAAGTCCAGGATTGCACCTGTACCCACATGTGCACCCCTCGACCTATTGCCTGCTCAGTTTTAGACCCGTTAATGTACCAGGTAACTTCCCCTTGCAGGTTGTGCCTTTGGTGTTTCATCCGATCTCATAATTTGCTTTCGAAGTTCTCATTGAATACAAACTTGGGAGGTATGAGGTCTTTCCTCGCATCAAGTATGTCACTTTTTACATGTTTCTTTATTTGGTTATGCCTTAGGTCCTTCTATCTCCCCTTTGTATCGGTGGGAGGTCCAGCATAGTTTCAAGTGCTGCAGTTGGAGCGCTCTTCTTTGCACTTGTTATAGACAGGCATGCAAGTATGTGTACCTTGCTTAATTCTGCAATGGCAGTGCGTTGTCTCTTCTTTCGCCACCATACCAGAGATGCATAAGTTATCATGGGTCTTACCACCGTTATGTACATCCAGTGCATCATAGAAGGGCTCAATTTCCATGTTTTACTATGACAGCGTCTTTTCAACATTAAAGTCGACTCCGCTCTCCTTTTAATGTGCTCACATCACCGGTTACTTGAGCCACTAAGGTCTCTTCCATGACAGTGTATATCAATCTTCCTTTTAGCATACAGTATATCGACTTACATGTTGTTTCATCGATGCCAATTCTCCGTTGCTCTGGAGATTGAGTCCAAGGACGTCTTTCCAGCCCTGATCCTATAATTAGTAATATACTATAACTAGTAACAGTATCATGCTTTCCAGCGATGCCCGTGCCAGTTACAAGTTGCATCCGAGATCTTGGAAGATGTGGACGTCCCCTTTTGCGAGCCTCTATTATGCTATCTCGTCGCTACGATAGAAAAAGATTAGAGCAAAGAAACTCAACAATGTTTTGTGTAAAACACCAAAGTAGATGATCCAAGTTTCCTGAGAAGTGTTATAATTAAAGATGAGACATGGATCTTCGAGTACTACTCGGGATACAAAGCAGCACACGTCGGTGTCTGTCTTCTTTGATGCTGAAGAAATCGTGTAACACGAGTTTGTACAACCTGGTCATATCGCTATTACTCAAGTTTACAAAGTAGTGCTTCAAAGACGGAACCACAGGGTTTCCCGCATCGAAAGTGAAATCCGGTCTTCATGGAAACTGCACCTCGACAACACGCCCTCCCACATCACCGCTTTTGTCATCGCCGCGTACTTGACCTGGATCTGTGTCACAACAGTGCCCCAGTCGCCTTACAGTCCCGACCTGGCCCCAACAGTTTTCTTTTTGTTTCCTCGAATAAAAGGGGATCTCAAGAACAGCATCTATACGCTCTAGACTCTAGACAACATTCAAGATATTTCCACGGTCTTTCTAAACAGCGTCCTGGTCGAGTTCCAGTGAGCGTACGCGGCTTGGAAACCACGCAAGTGTATCGACGCAGGACAGGAGGGTGCCACCTCGAGTAGCTTTCAACGTTTTAATAAAGAATCATCTGATCGATGATGAGACGAAGTTTGTTAATTTCTTCAGAATTACTAGTAAATATTTGTTATCTCTTATTAGCCACAAAATGGAAGTATTGAGCCTAAAATCAAAGGTTGATGCGTCCAATCGACTGTTAAAGCCCATAACAACAACAAGAAAACTGGCTGTGACAGACCACAGTTCATTTTCTGCCACGTAGTCAATATATTGCTCATGCTCAGACAACAATAAAACAAAATTTGGAATTATTGCGCATTCATTCCGCCGCGTGGACGCAAGGGCGTACCCAGCTCAAAACGGAAAGGGGCACCTTTAAAAATTTGTTTGGTGGAAGTTCCACAGATCATATCTACATAACGATTCTTGATATTTTTCTTTATATTTGCATTTTATTATATAGAGTGTGAAAACTGCTAGGATTACTTTTTTGAAACATTCACACGGGTTTATATTGCCCAAAATGCTCTTTTAAGTAATAATTTAGTCGTTTGCAAAACTTGAAAGTAACACTTGAGATAATATATGACAAATAGTTGGTATACAGAAACATTTTATATACCTACTTTTTCGGCGTGCATAAAACTCAAAACTCAAACAAGGTGCTTATCCTTTTTTTTCTTTTGGCGACGTCAGTAGGCCGTAGGAGTTCCGTAATCGCGAAAAAACTTCAAATAAAAGATTAATTTTCGGATATAGTAGGTACACGTTTTATGGCGTTTGTCAGGTAATCATTGGGCGCCTATTACAGACAGCATATATTTATAGTTTTGTTAATCGGTCCTGTTGCGAGAGAGCAATCCTAAACAGAAACGAATTAATCATCTGTCCTTCTATAACTTGGAAAGTACCACTGGATTTTGGAGAAATTTTGAATGGCCTACCTATATCTTCCCAAACTTGACCTTATCTTTTCTTTTTCGTTTGTGATGATTTTGAGTGAGATCAAACGTTTCCTTAGAAGAGTAAAATTCAAAAAGAACTCAAACTTTGTTGATATATTTTAAAACGTGGTCAAGAGTTTGTTTTACGGATTCAAAGATTGTGAAATCCGGCAAAACTCGTCAAATTCTAAGCATTCAGTCACTTAACTCCAAACTGAACACGATATGGGCAATTCGAAAATATGTGGAGTGTTACAGTATGTTGTAAAAGATATTGTACAGAAGGATTTTCATATTGTTTGGCATGAATGCAAAGGTCCCTCGTCTCGCAATAAAAAATTATGTGTAAAAGTTTTAACAAACTCCAAAGTTATAAGTCTTTAGAAGAATTGGGAAATGGATGCTAATAGCTCATTGCAAAAAAAATCGTTTATTTTTTTACCGTAAAGTGCATAAGGATAAATATGAATTGGTATTCGAAAGTTAAAGCCTTTGTAGTGATAAAAAATTGGAAATGAGATCATACGTGTTTTGGAGCTATGACATCTACATCACAAAAAACCATGTCACTCATTTCCGTCGGTCTGCTAATTCTTGAGCCGTATATAGCTTGTAGCGCACTGCTTGAAATCTGATGAAGTTTCCACATGAGCTTACTATTCTGACAAACAAGAAAAATATTTGTAATAGAAAAATAAACATAGCCCAAACATGCGATTTTGGGGGTGTACAACGCCGTGTTGGGTTAGAGTTACCACGTTTTCGGATGTTCGGTACTGTCGGTACGGCCGTAGTCTGGATCGCAATGTTGCTAATACTTTTTTCTTTTGTATCAAAGCAGCCGTATATGCTGAAGCCTAAATGCAGCGATACAGCGACTACTATAAGGGGCCTAAACACACCTTGTTAATAGATTTTTGAACCGGTTAAGGTTAGTAGAACTCGGAAAACACCATAAGAACAAAGGGCGGTCGAACCCGCCAGCACTCAATGTACGATAGTCGACACGGTTAGGACTGGAAGACAAAGTTTAACAGGTCTGCCTGGCAGACTCATCGTGCCAGATCGCCGACGGTACGTCGGTGCGAAAGTATCTAGACCGTCCGTTAGAGAAATGTCACCAATCAATCGGATCCCCCCTCTGAGCAATAGGGTAGGGTGCCCCAAGTCTGCGCACTTAAGGTTTGATAAGCCGTAGAATCGTGAATCAACAACCTAATGTAATAATCTTAATTTCTATTTAGGCTCACATTAATGTACTTTGTTAATTTAAGTTTTATTCAAACATCTGATAACAATTTTGTTAGTAATTAAAAAAAAAAAGACAAAGATGTAAATGCGCAGTCTTACCACTACGGGTCCCTGGATATTGCGCATTTAGATCGTTAAGATTGCGCATAGATAACAAAAACTTAAAAGTAGGAACTAAAACAGAATAAGGTATCTTAAGCGCATAAATCGCACTTAAACATTTCTCATGCCACCATTCAGAACAAGCAGAACAACCGATCCAATCCTCTGTAATCGGCTCTTTATACTCCTCATTGCAGCCACCGCATGCCCATTTCTTTTTTTTAGGATATTTAGAAGGCTTTCTGCAAACTTTTTTCATTTTTTTCTCAGGAGTTTTCTTCAACTGATTCTCTACTAATAGCTGTTCTTTATATGAAGAACCACTAAGTATTTCAGATTTCTTATGTTTTCGCTTGTTTGCGGTCTTTCTTATACCTGATTTTGGTATAGGGCAAATATCTTGGAGTTTCACTTTGCGGCCGATTCATTGCTGCAAGATGGTACCTGTGCAGGAACTTGGAAGATACCACCATTTTTTTCAGCTGGAGGACCGTCGAAGTTTTTCTTTTGCCCTGACTCAGAACTCACAACTGGTTCGGCTGGAGCTTCTGTTACTAGAGAAACATTCTCAATTGCTGTAAAAGCGTTCCTCGGAGTTGATGGTTTTTTTGGCTCCTTGTTGAAAACAGAAGCACGAGGCTCATTATCCATAACTGGTTCTCTCTGTTCATGGGGTGTTGCTTCTTGAGGATTCTCCTGTCGTGATTCTGAACATTGGTTATCATCCATTTCTCTTTCGGTCACAGCACTAGGAAGAAAATCTGCATCTGTGAAGATATCTGGATTGTATGGGTAGATTCCGGACACCTTGAAACATTCAGCAGCACAACCAACTGTAGCTGCTTTATTAAACGCTGGAGTGAAAAAGACGTCATCTGAAAAGCAGTTATAGCTCTGCCAGGGTAGTTTCTCATCCATTTTTCACATTCGCTCGCAAAATAAGTCTTCAACGCACTATGAAAACCTTTGTCTAGTGGTTGCATCTTGTGGCTGCTGTGTGGAGGTATGGTTAGAGCTATTATGTTATTCGCTCGATAAAAGTCTACAGCCCCTATTGTACAATGCGACACATGATTGTCAAGAACCAGAAGGATAGGGTGTTCTTTAGTTGGTCTTGTGTGATCTTTAAAGTGACCTAGCCAGTTTAAAAAAAGTTCACTATTAATATAACTTCTGTCTGAGACCATTCCAATAGACGCTGGTGGTGCGCCATCCAGCAATTCTGCTTTCATCCTTTTGCGACCGAATATGAAAGCGGGAGGAATGAAGTGTCCAGATGCACTCATAGCATTCACTACGGTTACGTTCGTTCCTCTTTCAGCGCTAGAAATCTTATTAACAGCGCGCTTTCCTTTTTTTGATATGACCCTTGGAGGATTGTTGGGTACGGTAGACAGACCAGTTTCATCCATATTATAAATGGAAGTTGGAGGAAACTTATACTTGTCCATCAATTCTGCTAGATTTTTGTAGAACCTTTCACATTGTGGCTTATTAAATCCCATCGCCCTAGCAATACTTGTGGAAGTTGGACGTCTTAGTGAAAGATCTGGGTGCCGACTGAGAAATCCACGAAGCCAGTGTTTGCCTGCCATTTTCTTTTCGGCATTGAAATGATGAGGAATATTATTTTTCACCACAAACTCGTAAGCAGCAATCCTCAAATTCTTAGGAGTCATCCCTTGAAACATATTGTCAAGATCTTCCAAATAATTACAAAATTCCTGTTCAATTTCGGGAGAAAGAGTTGCATCATATCTACCAAGCTTTGTTGCAGCTTCTTTTCTCTTCAGGCGATACCGCAAAGTACTTTCTTTCATCCCGTACGACGATGCTACTTTTCTTTTGCTTTCACCATTTTCTATTCGTCTTCTAGCTTCCTCTAAAACATATTGAGGGCACAGCGAACGTTCCGACGACCTTTTTCTTTGATTAGGCATTCTGAAAATGAATATTTAAGGTTGTTATATCAAATTAAAAGTTATGGTAGGGTAAGTCTGCGCGCGTAGTGTTACGGACCGTGACTCTGCGCAGTCTTAGGGAATAGCCCAATATACAATTATGTGACTCCTAACGCCATCTATTGAAAATATCAAAAATTATATCGCTCGCCGGCTGTATAGGTTAAATCACGCAAACGAAAACACTGGTCAAATCTTTGATAGTACTTCAGGCTTTCATGTAATTACAGTTTGAAATTGAGAAACAATAACATCAGAATCGATATTTAACGTCAAACTTACCTTGCGACTAGGTTTTGATAGGTTTTTGGTTTGTTTTTTCTACAGCGCACTCACTCACAGCAACGGCCCAGAACACGAGAGAAGTTAGTCGACAATGTCATTTTGCTTTCGAAATATGGGAGCTGCGCAATCTTACCTCCTTCGCAATGTTAGGGCACCCAACCCTACTCAAGGCTGGGCATTGGATAGATTGGGGAGGTTATGTGGAGAACAATACTTCTTAGTCCTGAACAAATAGTCTAGCTTTTTTCCAGCAGCTGCCGCGCTTGATGAGAGGTGTTCGTGCTAGATCAATTATCTTTGGTAGAACTTGGCCATCCATCGATACCGGCACAGGTATTACGTATCTTGAAAAGACATTATGTAGGGTTTTCTACCAGATGTTAACTTAGCACCTGTTGCCTAAACGTCACGAGGCTTCAGTTATCACTGTTTGGCTCTGATATGATGTAAAATCTGCTTCAGAGATGACATTACTGGAGGTCTAAGCTGTAAGTTGAATGTGTTGATGATAATTCTATTGGATTCTTATCTCAAATACACTTACTTGAGATTCAAAGCTAGAAATTAGTTGCGCATCCACTTTTTCTTATCCATTCTGGAAATTACATATGTAAATTTACTGAATTTGAAAAATGAGAGAGACAAGAACTAATTCTATTCACTGAATGCTGTCGAATTACAAGCTATATACATGCTAACAGTAATTACACACAACGCGGGCGCAGTGGTGATTGCCCGTAATTCTCTTCCAAGTTTTTCGTCATTTATAACTTTGAATATAACCTCTCTTCAGAAAGCACAACACAAATAACCCGTCGGGCATAGCTGATAGACATACTTCATTGGCGGCATAATCAGTAATGATTTTCTCACACAGCAAATATCATTGATTTTATACACATGCAGACCAATACACATAATCATCCAGATGAGATCGTGCTGTTCAACCAACTTTCTTCTCAGAGATGAAAACTACAGATTACTCGGCTTCACAAAACATACTCGAATGCAACCAACAGTGCGTGTGTACCTGAGCTATTCCTCCATATATGGACGCTCAGAACGAGCAAACCCGGAATGACTGTTTACACCCTAAATACTACCTAGTCTGCAAGATGACATTTTATAGATTTTCTTGACGGTTTATAGGTTTTTTACATAATACCTGTACCGGTGGGAGCATAGGATGCTTCTTGTTACTCAAGATGCAGAACTGCGTTGTGGAAGCATTAATCTGTGCCAGATTGTTGCATTCCCAACCACAGCAACTTCCAGATCCCTCGTCAGAGAGGAAGTCGGTGCTAGTCTTCTTGTCTCCTGCGCACCAGCAGAGATCGGCACGGGTATCATGTAAAAAACCTATAAAATGTCAAAAAAAACCTATAAGATGTCATCTTACAAAATAGGTAGTTTTTAGGGCGCAAACAGTAATTCTAAGTTTGCTTACCAGGATCGTTGTGAACGTCCACCTATGGAGGAATCACTCAAATAAACTACACGCATTATTGGTTGCCTATGTTTTGTGAGGCCAAATGGTCCTTGTCTGCAGTTTTTATCTCTGAGAAGAAAGTCGGTTGAATAGCAAGATCGCATCTGGATGATTATGTGTATTGGTCTGCATGTGTACAAAATCAGTGATATCTGCTGTGTGAGAAAATCATTACTGAATATACTGCCGATGAAGTATATATATTGGCTGTGCCCGATGGGTTATTTTTATGTTGTGCTTCCTGAAGAGGTTATGTTCAAAGTTATGAATAACGAAAAACTGTGGAGAATTACGGGAAATCATCACCGCGCCCGCGTTGTGTGTAATTACTGTTATCATGTATATGGCTTGTAATTCGACAGTGTACAATGAATATAATTATTTCTTATCTCTCTCATTTTTAAAATTCAGCAAATTTTGTATATTTAATTTCCAGAATGGATAAGAAAAAGTGGATGCTCAACTGATTTCTAGCTTTGAATCTCAATTAAGTGGATTTGAGACAAGACCCCAATGTAATTATCATCAGCACATACAACTTACAGCTTAGACCTCCAGTAATGCCATCTAAGAAGCAAACTCATTACGTTTATTCAACACGTAAGTATTAAGTTAACATCTTGTAGAAAAACCAACATAATGTCAAAAAAAAACCAGCATAATGTCAAAGAAAATGGGCATAATGTCACTGTTCAAGATACTTGATACCGGCACAACGATCCTAGTGAGCAAACGTGGAATGACTGTTTGCGCCCTAAAAACTACCTAGTCTGCAAGTTGACATCTTATAGTTTTTTTTGACGTTTCATAGATTTTTTGCATGATACCCAAGCCGTGCAGCTTGGCACTTTAAATTCCTGCTTGTGTAGCTTGTATAGCTTGTATAGCAGCAAAGCTGTGGAACGGATTGATCTTGCAGGTTGTTCTCTTTTTTGTATTTCAGTAAGAAAAGGAAATACTATATAAGCCACTTAGTATGCTCCTGAAAGAAGTTACTCAGTTAGCTTATTGAGAAAATCAACATCAAATATCATTGCTACTATTCCAAGCATCTGTTCGAAATCTGTCATAAAATCACACCGGTAACTGGGTATGTCTATTATGTTCCATGACGCCAAATAGAATTCCTCATGTCGGAACAATCTGCAAATTGCATTCCTCTGGAAGTGCACAATTGACTCCTATTCTCTCGGCTTAAACAAAACTGCAGCAAATCACAGACTGGCCAGTGTCTTAATCCGCTAGAATACCGCGCTGGCCATTATTTGCTCACCTTGATGTATGCTCGGCTATTTGCTTCGTTACGTTTGACGGAAGATACAGGTAATAGAGGGAAGATACAGGCCTGGATTCTATGGATACAGATCAATGAATTCGAATAGGTCAGAGGGATCCAGGCCTATATATTTCACTTAGCAGTGTTTGTCGCCAAAATTGTGTAGTCTTAGTGCATACTTTTGGGTAGTCTTACCTATTTTTCGTCTGGAAATGATATTAATGATATTCAAGTAGCCAATCATACTGGATGTACGCAAAGAATTAAATAAGGCAAAAAACCAAAGGTAAATATTTATTCAATTTGATACTCATAGATTTTTGAAGCGTGCTGAGCTTCCTCTGTAAAATTTCGTGGCACTAAAATAAGAAGGACTAACATTACTATTTGTAACGCTAAAATGAAAGCCATTCATAAGAACTTTTAGATTAAAAATGAAAGTAGATAAGAAACAAAGTTAAAGTTTCGATGGTCTTTTTCAGATCGATCAAAAATGTTATATTGTCTCCATTATTTTGCATTTTACAGTATTGTGTTGGGTACACAAATTTTCTTAACAAGCCCCAGACTGAGGCTCAAAGCAACAAGGAGTTAAATAAAGCGACACAAAGTTGTCTCAAAACTGTCCAGGTAAAGACTCAATATTGGGGTACATGCCCTTTCGCAATGCCGATATATTAACAACTTTCAATAAAAGACTTGCTTTAGTTGCATAAACAAAACATAGACTAAATAGGATTCGCTTGCTTTTCATCTTTGTGATCATAACCAACCGTATACAGCGTTGTTTCATGCTTCTTAGCATTACGGTATCGGTCTAGACTCTAGACATTGGGGACAGACGTCAGAAAGTGAACAACTGAAATTAAGCCTACTGAAAAACTCGAAATTGAAGTTATAGAGTGTTACCTCTGTTCCAATAAACCACCCAAATAGTTGTGAACTGAACATATAATACGCGGATCGAAATTACCGTCCCAACAGAAAATTGAACTTATACCGTAACTGGCAGCTCTCCAGTTAAGAACCGGTTCTTAACTGCGACGAGCTGTTCATAGCTGAGAAGGTAGATTCTGTGACTACCATTTTGTGCCTTTTCAACCTTCTCATATATCAAACCTAAATGTTTCCTTATTGTGCCATTTATCACACATAGTTACAATCATGTTATTAATTTTATATATCCCTTTCATTCCAAGACAATTAGAAGCTTAATGTTGTTAACATTCCACTTCCCCCTGCTACTATAACAGATTACTCTAAGTGCGAAATGACGAATTCTTACAGATCAAAAAAAACTTCGTTGCATTTCTTTGAAGTATTTCACCAAACTATTCATCTCTTCGTCAAATTCCACGTCCAGCATACGGACACTTGATACATTTTAGTTTTACTTAAATTAAGGTTGTTTATACTACAGCAAGCCATGTAATACTCTGTTCCAACATCATAGTTTGGAACTATTTCTGCACTGTTTTTATCTCGGGTAAGCGCTGGAAATCAATTCGGAATTAGTTCTGTACTAGTTAGGAACTGCTTGTTGGAGCAAACCTAATGTTTGAAATCATGAGATACAGCTTACAGTTGCTGCATCCTTCCCCAATTATATTTTCAGCGTGGTAAGTAAAATGCATTTGTGAATAAAACCTATTTAACGGAAATGGTAGCAGATATACTTTATCTTGTTCTGTCAGCAGCGTTTATCCAAGTCCATCTCTGTGGTTGGCACCTGATTATATATATAAAATATAATGCAAGTTTGTTACTTGACGCGCGAGAGCACTGCACCAACGGTTTCGAGTGAAATGTAATTGATAATTAGGAAAATGTATACTATTCCCATTGTTAATGTTGATTTACAAGAGACCATAATGATCACTGCATTGCGTCAGCTGAATCGTCGTATAGCACTTGCCATCGTCTGCGATTC